ACGGCAGCTTAGACCTCAGATACCGCCTCTAACACATGCAGCTTTGGGTGAATTCAAGAAAGAAGGAAACAAGGAAGAGAGGTTGGGTGGGTAGAAGGAAGAAAGGAAGGGAGAAAAAAGGGGGAAAAAAAGCAATCGGTATATTTACATCTACCTCACCAAGTGCAAACTGAAACCTAACAGCTTCCCTCTAAAGGATATTTGAAACCAAAATTAAAGATAAGCTTTCCTACACGCCATAAGTAAACTATCACAAAAGAAGTCACAGTTATGCCTTAAAATAAAAATTAAAGATACTTTCCTATCTACATCTGCTGGATATCTAGGTATTGGTTTGTTTGCTTGCTTGGGGGCCTTTCTGTAAAAGCTCCTGGTGTCAAGGAAAGCAGGGCTGGAGCAGGTGAACCAGCCCGGCCCCAGCACGGAGCTAACCCGGGTAGGCACCAGGGCCCCGCCCCCGGCACAGCCTGAGGGCCACCTGGGAGTTCACACCCTGGCTCCCAGCTCCCAGGGCTGCTCTAGGTCACAGCTCCTCGCAGCATTTCCCCTCTCACGGAGCCTCTTCCAGTCGCAGTGAAAGCTTAACCGCTCTCATATGCAAGCGCCACAGACACCCCTATGGTTAGAACAAACGACACCGCCTTTCCAAAAATCCCCTTCTGGGAGCAAGACGACCAAATGGCTTGTCTATGCTCCATTCTCCCCACTTTTCAAACAGAGTGAACAAAAGTTCCTGGAGAGAAGGCACAGCACGGCACAAATTCACCTTCTACTGCCCTCGGAGAGGTGTTAATCAGTGATACCTTATATCCTAGAATCCTAAGAGTCTAAGCTCATTGCTTCTGCTTTACCACTCCGCTCTGCCTGAAGACAAAACTAACTTGTATCCTCCCCTCATGAGATCCTCTTTCCTCTCCTTAGTATCTTACATAAAAAAGAAGGAAAGGAAATGAAAGAAGGGAGAAAAAAATCAACAAGGACCAAATTCTTCAATTCTATCAGCAAGAAAAGTTTTTGCATTTGCCTGATATAGATGAGCTTCTGAAAAAAAAATAAATCACTCCTGCCTCTACTCGGAAAGAAATATAATTAGAAGCTCTTTACACTGTCTGAAGTTATTTCAGTCCTGTTGTGCTGCAGGACTCCTGCCACCAGAATTATATTCCTGTAATATACAGCACTCTTCCAATGGGGGCCCCCAACCCGTATGTATGAACTTAGACACACAAACACAAAAATTATTCTCTAAAGCTTTAAAAGAGTGGAGAGTCGAAGCCCCATCATGCAATCGCTATATGAAAAGAAGGGGCAGACAGGAATAATAAGGGAGACTGTCAAAAAAGAAATACAGTAGTAGACTTAAAAATATACCCTACAGTTCTGTGATGGGGCTGCTAATTGAACACAGTGAGAAAGGGAGAGAGAACAAAAGGGTGTTAAGGAAGTAAAAAATAAATTCTAACCTCCTCCAATGATTTGATTTAACTTCAGTGCAGATTATGTGCAGAGGAAAATTGGCTGAACAGTGCCATATATAGCTATTACATTCTAAAATTGAAAACTACTCACAACACTTGCAACTATTCACTGCTATCTATAAATATTCTCCTTAGTAAATGGCACCTAATTTTTTACCTTTTTCTAATTTTTAAAGCTGCATGATTTTGACATAGAACAAAAAAAATTTCAAGAAATACTTTAAAATACATTGAGTCTTTTTCAGAAATGCAATTTGGGACTTTTTCCCTTCTCTTCTATCCCATGAAACTCAGTAGCTCCCACATTTATGCATATGCAATACGCCTATTAGCCTATTGCTAAGAGGTCAGAAGACAAGAAATGGTTCAGAAAGAAGGGAAGGAAGAAAAGAAGAAAAGAGAAAGAAAGAAAGAAAGAAAGAAAGAAAGAAAGAAAAAAAGAAAGAAGGAAGGAAGGAAAGAAAGCGATTCGAACGCCTACATTCAGTGCCTATGTTCCTAGTCTGAACATACAGATAAAATCCATATCTAAAATATACATTACTCTATGTTTAAACAATTTTTTTTCTTGCTGTTGTCTAAAACTTGCCACCTAAGCATTTTCCTGGTATTTTTCTATCTTCTCATTCACTTTCAAAGATCAAAATTATCAAAATAAAAATATCACATTCTGAAGCCAGCACACATAAGTTCTTTTTCATTTTTAATATTCTGACAATAATTTCCGACTTAAATACCCATCAATCAACTGTAATTCAGATGTGCTGCCTACTTCGAGTATTATACACATGTGTGTGTTTTTCAAAGCTCTAAAAGGTTGATGAGACAACTGAGATAGCTTTCCTGCTTAGTTCTGAGTCCTTCAACTAAAACCCTTAACAAAGTCATAATGCAAAAGCAGTTGAATGAATGCAATTACCAAGGACCTCTCCAGAGTTCTACCTAGGTGAGCAAAGTGTGAACACCTTCACCTTATAACACAAACAAAGGCCTCCCAAAGTCAAGCGCCTTCTACAATGTTTCAAGTAGCTGCTTAACCAGCTCCCTAAGGGCCAAGAGTTGGAAAGTAACAATAGGAAATGTCCCAAAGCAACAAGGAAGTATTTGTGAACAGATCCTCAAGGGTCAGAACAAGAAAAATAGAAGAACACAACCCCAAAATGCTTGTCCAAGGTAACAGACACTTAATATTACTCCACTCCATCCATCACAAAGGAAGGTATGTTGGCCCCAGGTAGCAAGGTACAGATTCTGAGCAACAAACTTATTGTACTTTAGAATCCGTGTTCTTTTCAACACATCATAGTTGTCCACTGGTTTATCCCTTCAATCCTTCCAGCACTCAGGTTGAAAAATAAGAAGGAACATTTGTTTAACTTTCACGCAAAGGTGTCATCTTGGTCCAAAACTGTATTTTCCCTCAACACAGGAATCAATGATACTTAAGACATTCCATTGACATTATTTCATAAACTTCTGAAAATATGTAATTCTTATCTTAGATACTCAAAAAGTCGCCACGCATTAAATGTGTTGACAGAATTTTTTCAAAAAGCACAATCTGCATCCCAACTAGAGAATGACACACTGAGAACAATATTTTGACCAACCTAAGTTTTCCTGTCACCAGACTTTGGCCAATATTAACACACAGCAAAGTCCAAGCAACACCTGAACCGGTTTTCCCCTCACACCCACCCACTCTGACCAGTTACTGCCTGAGTAGGTTTTAATTTGGAAACTAGGCATATATATTGGCCATAATGTCCACGTACATGCTCTCACTGTCTTCCTTTTAATAAAAACCTAATAAAACGTCTTCAAAAATAAAACATTCCTCAGCCTGTGTTATTACACAGGCCTTTACATCTTGGTCTTGCATTTTTATGAACTAAAACCAGCAGGATCGCGTACTCAGAAACAAATTTCAACAAATTTCAAGCAAATATGCAAAGTAAATACACATCAGAGATCAACGGAGAAAAAAGGTCGAAAAGAGGAGAAATGAAAAAAACATAAGTATACGTATACATACTTAAGTTTCCTTATTCTGATCCAGTAGGAAAAAAAACCTAGAAAGTATGACAAACTGGAAAAATAAAGCTCTTTTGATATTTATATGCACAATCCACAGATGTCTTAAAAGGCATCTCACAGCTAAAATAATGCAATTATCAGGTTGGCAATAAGATTAGTCTTTGGCAAAGCAATGGGGAAGATTCAAAGGTCTGAACATCACTTTTCAGGTGCTTTGTCTAGGATGTTATGCACAACACCAATCACAGACAACAAAGGACCTGCTTACTAATATTATATACATTTGAAGACCCAAGTAATTACATATTCAATCAACAGTCGCCTCTTGAAACTATTTTTTTAAGGCATAACACAGAGGGCTCGAAAAGAGAAAGCCAGCCTCAGTGCACCCCCCCCTTCCATTTTTATGTGTAACTATCAATGTATATCAACCGGGCATGCAATCATATTTATTGTCACTTTCATTCATGTCATGCCCTTGCTTATATGGTTTAGATATGAATTATTGACTGTTACACTCCTTGTTGTAATAAATAAATAAATAAATAGGACGTCAGGTAGTCTGCACTGGGCTTTAAAGCGAGCAGGGAAGTCAGAGCCCAGAAGAAGCTCCCGCTTTATGTAACCACCCCCCTGTCCCTCATCTTTAAGCTCTGGTTTCAGATTGCCGCCTCCTCAACTCTTTCTTCTTACAGCAGAGAGATTTACCCACTTTGGAAAATTAAGGATTAAAATAAACAAGAGGATGTTGCTAAATGTCCTTCCCTGAGCATCTGTTGTTTAAGAACACCTCTGATTGATGACTGCTATTTTTTAATTGTTGCTTTAAAATTTAAATGTCCTCCTGGGATGTGTTATAAGTGTGTTAGTCCATGATATGAGGTTTAGAAAGTAGAAAAACAGGAGAGTGAGTGATCACAAGGTAGTATGCTCTACTAAACCCAACAATTCTCCTTGCTATAAAATCACAGGCCATTCAAATACCGATAACCTAATGTACAGTGCTTTCCACAAAGGTTATTTGCTTTAAGAACCTCTAGTCTGCTGTATAAATAGGAGAAAGAAGAAGAGAGAAAGAAAAAGAAACTTAAACAGTTTAGGCCCCTCCATACAACACCAAAAAGATAAGATTTTAATTATGAGCCAAAATATATTTAATTTGGGAAACAGACTGTTACTTTCATATTTCCCCACAAAGATACACCATTCCATAAATTTCCCTTCAGAACCTATATTTTAACTCCAGTTTCAAAAAAGACTGAGAATAGAGTTAAGGAAAATAAATCTATAATGCTTAAAAACAACTGCCAAGAAGCTAATAGTTTTCTTTTAAAGAAAGCAGGACTAGGACATCCTATTAGAATTGTAAGGACAACCATGGCTGTACTTTTATTCTGAAATTTTACATTTAAATTAGAGGCTCATGACTGCTGGTTAAGGATTCAGTTGGCCAAAGAAAATGTCAAAATGTATTTTCATTCCTACCTGTTTTTTCTTTGATTTCACACAACACATTAAACAAGGCGGGCTTCATTCTGTGGCAGTTTAGAGCATGTTTTCTGTAAGAAAAACAACAACATGATAGCTTAGGTGGATTCTCAAGATTGAGTCATGCAAAAGGGGAAAATCTGAACATTTAGGCAAAATTACGGTCTGAGCAGAACTCTGTGGCATGCTTCAATTGTTTTTATGACAATACACAAAGTTCTGCCATACAGAAAGAAATAATGTTAATTAGCAGTAAGAGAGTAGGGATTTAAGTAAAGAACAGAACTAACCTAAATTATGCCCACTTAGGGAAAGTTTTTTTTTTATAATAGTTTAATCAAAGTGGAATTCTTAAACCAATAATCTCATACAGGACAATGAATACAGCAAAGCCAAATGCAGTTTTATATAATCTATGCAATGTCCACAGCCTAGGAGCTGTCTGCCTCTCAGCCGGGTGTGTGTGTGTGTGTATGTGTGTGTGTTTTCAAATTTAATTCACCCATGTGTTCAAATTCATTCCGCAGATGCCCCTGTATTCTCATAAACACAAGATGCTTGAAAGGTCTTCTTAGTGGAACTGTCAATTTATAAAATTTCAGTCCCCAAGTTAAAGAGTATGGAAATGTATTGCCAGGGGGCAAACATACCCATATGGGGAATAAATTCATTTCTCTGTGTTCACATTATGCCTCTTGTGCACACACTGCTTATTTGCAGGTGTTGAAATTCAATTATTTACAATTAGGACCTTGCACCCATTGGGGAAAAAATAAATACAATTGTGCCTTTTAGATTAGTGATTTACCTGGTCCTGGTGTCTGTGCGTGTCTGTATTTGGAATGCACTTGAAGACCCAAACAATACCTTTCCTCTTACTTTATTATGGAATCACTTAGCAGAATGATACTGCTTTGGAAATAAAATACGGATCATATCAGCTATTAGTTAAGAGCATTCTGTTTACTAACTGAAATTAATGTGTGAAGATAAATGAGAGGTCCTGGCACTCAAAACATATGCAATTCTTTCCTGATCATTTTGAAAGTTAAAAAAAAAAAATAGAAACACATCCTCATGAAGAATAGAGAGTACAAGAATGCTCTATCTACTGTACAACAGGGTGTAATAAATTCAAAATTCAAGACTATCAAAATGAACACATAGATTATATTTAAAACAGTAACTGCTACCTTTTAATCAACAAATACAGGTTTATAAAGATGTGACCAGGAAAGGAAAAAAAATATAGTATTGCTAAAGTAGTTACATGGTTTAATCAAAAAGAAAATATAGTAGACGATCTAGTCAATTTTCATGTGGAGTTGGAAAAAAAAGATAAAAGACTTTATTTTTAAAGATCTTATCTTCCCTTCCTCTTTTAAAACAGTTTTCACTAATCATATTCATACACATAGGCCCAAATACAAACAGAAATTCCCACACAGCTATAGAGAAATACTGCATTTCTACAGTTTTACAAATGGGATTATAGAGGGAAAACTGAAAATTTCCCTAGCCCAAAATTGTATCTGATCTCGCAGCCTCTAGGCCATTAACGGGACCGGCTGAGTGAAGCTAGTCCTCAATTTCACAAAAAAGAGAGGGATTAAATATCAGCAAAGTAGTGTCTATTCTTAATGATTCCTTCCAGTTCACAAACTTGTTTGCAAGCCGGTTTATTGGTATGTCTGAGTGTATTTTTCTGGAACAATATAATAGAGAAGTCTGCTCCAATTCAAAAGAGAACTGCCAGTGGGAAATTGTCCATTTACTAGACTTATTAGCTTTTCATCAGATAATAAAACTCAAAAAGAACACCAATTAATTTTAAAAACCTTTCCCTATTTTAAAAAAAATAGAATAGCCCTAGTCTTTTAACATTTGCAAGTTTCAGAGCACCCATAAACCTTAGTACTTTTTGAGTTTACATGTTGCATGTGCTGGCAGCTAAAATAAGAGTGTGATTCCCAACATCCACGCTTTTAGATATTTCCTCAAATTTTCCCAACTCAAATTTCTATTTCTCTTAGAAAAAAAAATTACATAGTATGTCTTCTCCATGTAACTGAGTCACTTAAGATAATTTTTATATATGTTTAAAAGATTTTCAAATTTAAAAAATATTTCAAAGATTCAATAAAGCTAAGTAATTGTAGAGACATACGTGGTCATTAGATCTTTTTAAATTCTTTCTTTCAAATTCGGCCTTAGGCTAGCTGGTAGTGGGTTGCCACTTAAATCTGTTTTATTCTAAAAGAGAATTTTCTATAGAATCTTGAGTTCAGAACTATGCACCTGGTGGTGGGTCAAGTTAGGAAGCTAGTTTCTTCATTAGGGTTCTTTAATGAACATCTTCGTGTCCCATAGTATTCAAATACACAAATTCACACAAGCTTTCCTTTCTGTTCAGTTATAGTCTAAGTGGTCAAGAAAGAAGCATGAGGAAAGAGCATGCTTAATTTTTGTCATCCTATTCTTTTTTTTAAAGGACCATAGATAGCTGCCTGTATCACAGAAGTCTAGTAAACCAACTCAAATTAAGAGACAATAAAGTTAAACTAAAAATCTGGGTCTCTTGAAACTAGCAAATGTGCCCAAGAGCCAAAATTATCTTTGCTTTTTTTTTGCCATTAGTTTATTCTAAAAACAGAATTGAGTGCAAAATATTTTCTGAATGCTGACAACTACTGACAAAGAAATAGCCTGTTTTTGTGATTATTGTTGTTGATTTGTTTTGGATCTGGTCAGGATGAGAAAGGAGAAAAGCTTGTAATTTTGGAAGGTAAGTCAAGAAAGAAAATCAAACTTGCCAATTAGCTAAAGAGTCAGCTAAATTTGCAAAAAGAGTTCTTGGGACATTTTATTCGGTAATGTTAGGAAGTCCCTCAAGCAGAAGGCAAAGAATGCTACTCTGAACTTGACAATTCTGCTCTCTCTTACACTTTTTTAAAGCAGTAAAAAGTGCCGAGGGCCGCTTTTGGATCAGTTGGCAGTATTTTCGGCGTGGCTGAGTGTTTGTGTGGCTCTATGGAGGTACCTCTATATTCACACACACGCACACACACACGCACGCACAATATGTACACAGCCACATCACAGCCTGGGCGATTACACTTTCGATAACAACGCTACTTCAAATTTTACTCCTCCGCCATGTAGTTGCTTGTCAAAATGGGAAAAGAAACAACATTTTAAAAGAAAGCTCTGTGGTGATTCGGTTCCCATTGTTTCCCCCTGCAAGAGGGAAAAAAACCAAAACAAACCAAAACAAAAAATCCAAGAAAGGAAAAGAAAAGCCTCCATCTCACCTGGCCTGCGCCTCATCCAAACTCTGGTCTGTGATGGTCATAATTTGCTGTAAAATGTCTCCAATGTCCTGCTTCCTCCCGCCCTCCCCCTCGGTCCCTCCGGCCCCATCCTGCAAGTGCTGGGACAGGCCGGGGTGTCCGGCCATCCCGACCCCAGCGTGGGAATGCATCAGCCTGGGCTGCTCGTCCATCTCCAAAGGCTACGGCAGCCCTCGGCTCTTCCTCTTCTGCTCCTCGGCTCGGCTCCTGGGAAGCACCAGGCTTTTTATCCTTCAAGCTGTCTTCAAATCCTTTTCAGGATAAACAGGGAAGGGGGAAAAAAAGAAGACCAAAAGAAGAAGAAGAAAAAAAATTCCCTTTGCCTCTTTAGAGGATGGTGGGAGGGTGGGGAGTGGGGAGGGGGAGGGGGCGTGAAGGGGTTGCGGGGTGAGGGTGGGGATGAGGGCTGGTGGGGAAGGGTGTTGACTCCAAAAAGCAAGAAAAATAAACCACCTTCCCACTTGGCGAAAAGAAATCAGAGCTGGCTTTTGGTTTTTCAGTCCGATCTCCTTTGCAAGGCAGAAATGGGCTCCCGGCGCTTAAATCTGTGGCTTAATCCTTTTGCAAATATGCATTGATCGGGAGAAAGGAGAGGAAGGCAGGGGGATTGCAATACAAACTTTCCCCCCCACCCCCCGCGGCCCCCCACCCCCACTCCGGGCCAGAGTGATCTCAAAGGGGGTGGGCTGTTGCAAAAGCCAGATCTCCCCCAGCAGCGGCGGCAGGCAAAGCCCAGGCTCTCTCCTCCTCCGTGTCTCTGCAAACTCCAGCAGCCCCGTCAGCCTCCTGCTTTTGTTTAGCTCAAGCTCAGGACTCCAGAAACATATACAGAAAAACCACAGCCTGAGAGGAGGAGGAGGAGAAGAAGGAGGAGGAGGAGGACGAGAAGGAGGAGAGGGGAGGGGGAAGAGGGAAAAGGGAAGGGGAGGGGGCGGGGAAGCCGAGAGGCGGGGGAGAAGAGAAGAAGGGAGGCAGGCTCTCGGGGCCACGCCCCCTCCTCTGATTGGTCATCAGAGAAAAGACGGTCTCCTCCTCTCCCTACTTCCCTCCCCGCCCCTCCCCCTCGGCCTCCTTCGGCTCCTCCCCTCCCGGAGCCCTGTCAATCAGAGTTCAGAGGTGGGCCGGGAAGGAGGCCGAGCTAATACTAAGTCTCCAGTCCTTAAAGGTGCAATGGTAACGTCGTTCCAGGTCACTTTGCACTTCTGCCTGGCTAGCTATCTTAGGTTGCGTCCTTGAAGAAAACGTGGTTCCACTTAAATGCAAACCTGCAATATTAACACGAAAGAAGATAGATGGTGTTGGTCTCTACGCCCATTCCCTGTTTTGGGGGGTTTTTGTGTGTTTTCTTTTTTTCTTTTTTTGCTCTAACGTTGCCAGTGATAACTTGATTGTTTTAAACCCTCTCAGAATTCAAGGAAACTATGGAGGGCAAAAGTTCGCCAGCAAGAAATAGTAACAAACACAACCAAGCTCCTAATGTAATTAATAACGATCTCTAATAAGTGGCATATGTAATAATAGTTAATTTTTAGAAGAAGCAATATAATCATAGGAGAGTTAAAAAGAATAGCAAGTTGTGAAAAAATACCAAATTGTATCATATTGTGGTATGAAAATTAAATGTTGAACTAGGAAACTAAATCAAACTGAGACAAAGAGATTAATAAATTCACCAAAGGAAAATAAGTTCACCAAACGAACTTAATAAATACATTGAACATGTCTCCTCCCCTGGGGGGGAATTAGTTATTTGGCTTAAATGCTTAATAAAGAAATGCATTATCACAGACTGGGTCTAGTTTTTAATATACTCTAATAAGCATTATTAACTGGGTGAAACAAACTGACATTTATTGAGTGCCTACTACGCACAAAGTAATTTACATGAGTTATTCTATTTAATCCCCCAAGACATCTCTGTGAGTTATGGATTATTATTTTCATTTTACAGAGAAGAAAGTCAGAAAGATTAAAGAACTTGCCCAAATCCACAGTTGCTAAGTGTCAAGGCTGCAATTCAAGTCCAACTATGACTCTCTCCAAAGGCCTGGTGTTTCCATTAGACGGTTTGTCTCAAACCTAGCAGAGAAGTACACACAGCATGAGCATGAGTCCTGTTGCCTGATTATAATTTGAACGCACATTTAAGAATACTGGACTCAAAGACGATGACTGAAAATAATAAAAAATAACAATAAATAATAAAATGATATCAGGAAGAAAGCCTGTAGGAAACTGTTAGCAAAACCCTGATACTGCCTCTCCAGATGAGATCCAAATTTGCCTTCAATCTTTTCATCAGGTAAGACAGAAGGGCTCACCCATCCAACTAGACACACAGTCACAACGCCCATAAGATAAAACAGCAGGTTAATCACTCTGGAAAAGGCTGACATATTTTGGAATATAAAAGAAATATTCTCCTGTGTAGCCACCACTCTTCCCCAGTGGTGATGTAACCAAAGAAAATGGGTGGGTCCTCTGTAAAACTCATTGTAACCAGTCTGCAAAATGGAAAGCAATCCAGCTAGGGATTTTTAGATCTGCAAATAATTTGTTACTCTTTTCATCAATCATTATTCAAAAGTTTGGCAAGATAAGGGCACTTAGGAAAACATTTCAAAGCTGTTCTTAACAAGCTACTTGGCACTTATTAGTAGAAAAGCATGCAATAGGGGGTATTAATTGTAATTACAATGTCATACTAGTTAATAACAATTGTTTTATTCACCTACATACCCTGACTTACACAGTTTCCTTAATCAACTCTAATCAAATGTTGTGCGCAAAACTATTCTTAAATCATATATCAATCAACCAAATTAGGATATCAACCAAATAAGGGATTTTAGGATATCCCTTATTCTTAAAGATGAAGTCAACACAAGGCTTATAAGAAATCAGTATGTGAACAATTCGTTCAAAAATTTTTTAAAAAAGCCTTATTAGGGCAAAGTTTTTGAAAGGGTCCTACCAATATGAGAAGATCATTGTCAACTAGGAATATTATAATAGGAAAATAAATGAGCACAGTATTACTATTAAGAATAGAGTTTATTTTGTGTTTTGTTTTGACAATATGAGAGTTGAACTCAGTGTCTTCTCACCGAGCTGCATCTGTACAATTTAATAAATAAACATTATTTTTTGAAGCAAGTCCTCATTAAATGGCCAAGTTCCCATGCTGGGCTTACACTTCCAAGTCTTCTGCTTTCACCTCCAGAGTATAGAGTACAGGCGTGCACTATTGTACCTGGTTAGGGATAGCTAATAGTTATTCAGCATTTACTGTGGTTAGGTATTCTATTCAAGATGAATCTTTTTGTTTGTTTTGTTTTGTTTTGTTTTGTTTTGCTTTGTTTTGGAGACAGTCTAGGACTCCATAGCCCAGATTGGCCTGGCTTCTGGAAATTTCTACCCTCCGGCCTCAGTCTACAGAGTACCAGGATTATAGGATGCACAACCGCGCTCAGCTGTATTTTAATTTAATTTCGTCACTACAACCATTTAACTTCAGTTCTTTTGATTTTAACTACTACTCCATAATATTTCCCAAATATATTTCAGTATCAAATAAATGCAATAGCAGTGATATCACACCATAGACACACTCTAAGAGACGAGACGTAATTAGAGTCAAGAGAAGTAGGCTTTGAGGTGGGCTTAAAGGATGAGTTGGATCTAGAAGACAGAGTAGGCTTTGAGGTGGGCTTAAAGGATGAGTTGGATCTAGAAGACAGAGTTAAGAAATTTAATAGGAGTTCAGATCGAGTGTCTCTTTGGCCACAGTAGAGTGCTATTAGAGAGATATAACTGGATGCACTCTGAATAGCAGCACTGGTACTAAGGATACTGAGGAGGGACTAAATTGTTGATTCGTTTCAGGATGAGTTACTTGGTTGCCTAACCCAATGGGCAGCAATTAGCTGGTTGCCCAAATCATGTGAAAAGGGAAGATGGAATTAGGAAAATGAATTAGGAAGGTGACAATTGAAATGGAAAAAAGAGAGGAACATTTTCAAGTTGGAACCACCCAAAATTGATAATTGATTTTGTGTGAGCAGGAAAGACAAAGAGAATGCTTTCAAGTTGGGTGTGAATGATGTGCAGGCATTAATGTAATAATAAGTATAGCTATTGATACAATTTTGATTGTATTTCAGCACTTGTGCATAACCACCTGATTTTCACAATTTAACATCTAATTTTAACGATAACCTATTTGTAGATGAAGAAACCAAGGTTCCTAGAAGTTGAATTACTAGACAAAGTACAGAACTGACTTCCTCAAACAGCGAGGATGCACCTGAGAAATGCATCAGGAAGTGGTTCTTTGGCTATGTGGTTGTAGAGAGCACTTGCACAAACTGGAACAGCTACATTCTCACAAGACAATACAACCCTGTGGGACTGCACAGTACATGTGGTCCATTGTTGACCACATTGTCCTGTGCATATGACTCTAGGATATAAACACTCTTACTCTTAATGCCTTACACAGAATAAAGGAAGTCAAAAGCAGAAACTATCAAAGGTGCGACAGAGTAAAAAGTAGTATCTTATTTGCATGACATGGTGGTTTACACCTATAATCCCAGCACTCTGGGAGGCTGAGAAACAAGGAGTCAAACTTAGAGCCCAGCGTGGAAATTTAGCAACTTAGTGAGACCTTGTCTTAAAATAAAAAATGAAAAAGGGCTGAGGTTGTAGCTCAGTGTGTACATCCTGGGATCAACTCCTAGTACCTCAAACAAACAAGCAAACAAACAAAAAATTTATAAAAATAGATAGTGAAGAGAAACTTCTACATACAGTTTCCATAACTTAAGGGCTGTTATAAGAGATGCATAGTGCTTTTCGTACCTTCCATAGCTCAGCAGTATTTTAATTATAATAGGTGTTTTACAAATTTGTGTTGAAAGAATTAATGATGCTAATAATGATGCTGTGTGTCTTCAGACTACTAACTAAAGCCCATTGAATCATGTGTTAAGAATATGAGTCATTATCAAAATTTAGCAAAGTATTTTCCAAGTGACCTTATTTTAACATGTCCATGGTCATCTTACCATGTATACTTCGGGGTCAAGATTTGCTTACTCTGAGGATTCTCCTTCAAACTTCATTTGAAGCTCACTGGAATATGCTATCATATTCCATAATGGACAGAGGATAGAGCTCCAGGAATATGGACAAAGACCCATTATCTGCTTTAGCAACTGACATGGTAGCAAAGAAGACCCTTCACATGGCCCTGGACATAAACTCATCGCCTTATAATGTTGGATCATCCAAGCAGTCTCCAATCTATGTACCTTTATGATTATATTTTGATTGGCCTCAAGGTATTTGTAACTTCCTTATTCTTATGGAAAAAAAAAAAATCTGCTGCCTAAGAGAGTCACATCCAAAGCTAGGAGCCAAAAAATAATACCTGAGACAGTTGCTGCAATCTTTTCTCCCTACAGATTTTTATCTTTCTCCTTCAGCTACTTTCTTGGCTTCTTACTTTTTGCTTTTCTTAAACTTTTCCACTCACTTCTCCACCCTCATTATCTCTTTTACTCTCTTCTGTTCAACCTCTTCCAACCTGCTCAAAGAGGACTTCTTTCTGAGTGCTGTTTTGTTGCTTCCTTAGGCAGGCTTTAAAACAGGGTTGGGCCACCTACCTCTCTGCCTGTGCCAGGGAAGAGAAAATTCTAGAACAGGCATTCTAAACCTAGGGTCTATGTGTGAGCTTCACCTGTTCTTCAATCTCCGGGAACTGTGAAGAAAATTTAGTGATCTGTGTTACTTCACCTTGCTTCAAGCAGAATTCAAGACATTTATCAGAACCTCAAGAGATTTCAGGACCCCGAATATGTAACATCCCATTAGCTTTCACCAGCAAATGCCACAGTGTTGCCCTGCTAGGCTGGGGAAACCGTGTGG